CGACCACATGCAAGTGCTCGGGATGCCGCCAGGTGCTTTTGTGCCCAGCCCCCAAGTTCTCCCGTCTGCAGTCCAGCCTGTTCAGCCTGCCCAGCCTGTTCAGCCTGGCGTCCCGCAAGTCTTCGGCGTCAACAACATGGGTGCTGGAGACGAGCAAAGGGCCCTGGAGGCCCGGAGAAGGAAACAAGAAGAGATGAGGCGAGCACTGGAAGAGCAGATTGCCCAGAAGGAGCGCCAAAAGAAGGAAGAACAAGAGCAAAGGCGACAAGAAGAGCAGCTGCAGCTGCAGCATCAGCAGCTGGTGCAGATGGCTCCCACATCTCCCATGCAAGCGGGGCCCAATCATGATATGACCAATGTGGCTCATGTGGCTGGGACACCTTATCCTCCAGTTGGGGGAGGGCCTGCTCAGCCTGCCCCAAATGATGCGCTCATGAAAAATGCAGGGCGTTTGGGACCCGAAGACGTTGCGCTTGAGCAGCGACGGAAGAAGCAGGAAGAGATGAAGAGAGCCTTGGCAGAGCAAATAGCTGAAAAAGAGCGACAAAAGAAGGAGGAGGAAGAGCAACGGCGCTTGGAAGATGAACGTGAAAATGAGCGAATTCGACGTGAGCAAGCAGCTGAGGAAGCAAGATTGGAGGCCAGACGCCTGGAGGATGAAGCAAGGCAGAAAGCTTTGCATCAGCAGAATGAGCGTGCAGCGGCTGAGAGGCGAAACGAAATCGAAGATGACGAACCTCCTGGGCCTCTTCCAAAGCCAATGGGACGCGCTTCCAGATCGACACGCGATCAGAATCAAGGACAGGTTGGACAGAGATCTGATTTGTTCGGCCTACCCCAACCATCGGCCGCTTCACCTCTTCCGTGGGAAGGAAATTCAGCTCCTGCTCAAAGCTCTGGGAATAGTTTTTGCCCTGCTCCAATGGCTCAGGGAAGCTTCCATGGAACCTTAGGTTCAGGTCCTCAAAGTGTACCAAACGCTGCACCGGTGAGCGACATGCTCCAAGGCTTGATGTATCAACAACAGGAGTTGTACCGCCACCAGCAAGAAGCCTTAGCCAGGCTACAGGGTGAGGCCGATCGACTTCGGCAGGAGAAGGAGATCGCCAAACAAGACTTGCTGGACATGAAAGCCAAACAACTTGAAGAGAAGGAGAAAGATGTCAAGAAGCTACAAAGAAAGTTGCAGCGGCAAATGTTGCTGCAAGGCAATACCGCGCAGCTACAGCCGTTGGAGAGCATGCTGCCTTCTGAGGCATCAACACCCAAGGATGTCTCTGGGATGCAGCAATCTGAAACGCCGTGGCGGGGAGAGTTTTACTCCAAATATGAGCAGCCACCAGCCCAGCATGAGCCAAGCCAAACCGGTCAAAGTGTGAATCCAGCTGCAGAGACTTCAGGCTATCCGTCCGATGAGGACTTCCAACGCCTGCGGAGGGAATCCAACAACCCATCAACATGGCCAGTGGCTCCTGTTCCATGGCTACAGCCAGAGACCGAGGGTGACTTACCGATCATTTCAAGTGCTCCGGAAGCCCCACCAGGAAGCATCGGCGCATCACTCTTCGAGGACAGTTGGGGCAAACCTTTGGAGGACACACAGAAGAGTGGAAGCCACGGACGTGCTTCAGCTGCGTCAAAGGCTGCGTCAAAGGCTGGACGGTCTCTTCCACTTTCAGAAGGCTTTGGCCAAGTTACATCAGCCACATCTGCTATGGAAGGAACTCTGGTTGGAGAGTCCAAGCTTGTCGATCCGCAAGGCTGTACTATTGGAGCCACCTGGAAGGCCTCAACGAAGGGAGGTCCAACCTTCGACCCTTCAAATGAGAGCTACAAGAGTTTAAAGCAAGACTACGAGAGTTATGTGCCTTCCAGGCGGGATGCTTCAAGCCTTGGTAGCACGTCCAAGTTGTTGGAGTCATTGGAAGCGAAGAATGACGAAGATACTGCAGATCCATTGATGCTGCTTCAGGGGGCTGTAAAATCCATGCGTGAGGCTCGAGCGGAAGGTGGGGAATGCCATGCACTATCCCTCTCCAATTCTGCTTTTCTATCCAAAGAGCGTCGCGGCACCAGCTCAGTTGATGCCTCTGACCCTGTTGATGATGTTCTCCAGTTTCAACCAGCTAGTGAATGGGGAAATGTTTGCCGCCACTTCGGTGCTGAGTCAACCCCCAGCTCCAGGCCAGAAGCTTCGGAACCAACCCATAGACCTTCGCCAGACGGCGAATTCCACAACAGGCTCACTTGTGATTTTGAAGGCTTCCCACAGTATCCGCGACAAGGTAGACTTGATCTGACGGATAGGAACTCAGTCCTTGGTGAAAAGCAAGAGGCGGGGGAAGCCACAGCACCTGACAGCCTCGACCTACTTCAAAATGTGCAAGACTATCGAGCTTCGAATGGCATTGCCATGGCTGGGAGCAATGCCAGCAGCCTCCTGGGTCTTGGAACGCAGCGGCCCATTGCCAAAGACGACTTTGCTGCATTGGCAGCTGCCACTCCTGAAGACTTTGATGCCTTTTTGGCTCGCTTGAAGGGACAAGATGGGCAAAGCCTTGGCCAAAGTGCACGAGGTCGTTCACCACAGGTTTCTGGGATGAGTGTCAAAGAGCGTGCCAAGTTTGGATCGCCCACCTTGCGTGCAGCTGCGGGATCGCTCTTAGGTGCTTCCGAGCGTGCCCCATCTGGTCATTCTGGTCGACCAGAGAGCGGAAGCAGTGCAACCAGCTTAAACAGTGGAGGTGCTCCAGGAGCCCTTCGGGATCTAAGGAACCAACGACGAAAGCCCAAGACGGCTGAAGACCTCCTGGTGCATGGATCGGATTTGACAGTACCGGGCCCTGCTCAGGCAGGACCTGGAACCAGTTTGCATGCGACTGTGCCAGCAGCACTGCACCAAGAAGCCAGCGTCCTTCAATCCTTGAGGGCAGAAAAGAAACACCAAGAGACAGTTGGTTAATGTTCGAAGCGTTTCACGTGGCAAAGGTTGCATCACCAAGCCACAGAGTTCAGGAAGTGGAGGTGCACACCCAAAAAAGCATTCTGAAGTGAACATGTCCCATCTATGCGATGCCAAGTGATGAAGTGCCCAGAAGATGTCCGCAGGCTTTGAGCCTGACACCTATGCTGCCGATGCTCATTCCCCTTTGCTTCAAGCAGTTCCATTTGAAGAGCTTGACTTTGACAGTCCAGGAGAAATGTGTGTAGAAACATGTGCGAACTCAGAAGGATGTCCAGACTTCCGACGAAAGCTGATGTCCGATCCCAGGGAGCGGCACCTTTTTGAGGACCGTGAGGACGGATCAGATAAAACGGGAACAGAAGTGTAAGAAGGTATGGGCGCCACAGACGCGTCAGCTGCTTTGGCTGTGTCAAAAGCTAGACTCGAGTCTTTTCCACTCATCAACTTGGAGGGAACTCTGGTTGCAAGCTTGCACATCTGAAAGGCTGTACTATAGGAGTCACCTGCAAGGCACTGCCCGGGAGCACAGCGGCCCATTGCCAAAGACGACTTTGCTGCATTGGCAGCTGCCACTCCTGAAAACTTTGATACCTTTTTGGCTCGCTTGAAGGGACAAGATGGGCAAAGCCTTGGCCAAAGTGCACGAGGTCGTTCACCACAGGTTTCTGGGATGAGTGTCAAAGAGCGTGCCAAGTTTGGATCGCCCACCTTGCGTGAAGGGAAGCGACATCATGCATCAGTGCCTGATCACTACACATCCCCGTAGGACGAAAAAACATTCTGACACGTCGTAGTGAAATTTGTGGATTGCTTGTTTGTGGGACTCCAATTCAATGAAAAACTACATCGGACACCTGGCACGGCTCAAGATCTTACGTTTTGCGTGCACATCCCAGAACTGTGAAGGCCTTTTGCTTACTCCCGGATTGTTGTGCCAGCATGTGTTGGATACTTGACTCAGGAAATGCTCCAACCATGGAAGGAGAGAGTGACAACAGAGAGTCTTTTATACTATCGCACATGTCCGGCATGTGCGGCTTCAGGCCTTTGCGCACGGTGCATGTTCACTGCAAAATGTTGGAAGAGTTTGCTTGCTCGAGTCCACAAGGAGGATCATTGTCTTCAAGCTCCCGAAAGGCAAAAAAGGAAGCCCAGAGATATGCCGCACAAGGCCACAGCCAGAAGGGAAGAAGCATAGCTGGACACTTTGGTGACTAGGTCGGAGGCTATGGGTCAAAGCTCGCATGAGATATCATATGATATCATTGTATATAATATATATATATATAGATGTCAGCTATCATAAGGCCAACTAATAGGTTCGCATTATAATGCCTTATATCGTTCTCCAACGCACTCCTGAAGCAAGTTGGAGGACAATGGCCTTGGACATGTTGAGACTGTTGTGGATGTTTGTGGAAATTTGGCGACCGCGTTGTGTTCACTGGCATTTCGGTGCATGGCACGGCGCGTGGAACGGTGCAAGGAACACGGATGTACAATCTGGGCAAAAGCCGATTTGAAGCAAAGACCCTTCTTCGGGCCAAGGACGTGGCACAGATCGCATTGAGTACATTCACCCAGCGTGACACTTTTTTGACCAAGTTCAGTGCTTCAGGAGCTGCTGGCGACTTCTGTAGCTTTGTACCCATCGCCCGGCAACTCAGTGAGATTCGGTTTCGGGCTAAACCTGCTGAAAGACAAACCACGTGACAATTTGATCAGGCTTCATCATGTGTTAGGCACGTTCTAGCTTCCTGAATTAGGCCAGCTGGCTTCTTCTACTTAGCCAACACGTGCCAATCTCAGATTTGCTGATGGCAGCTTGCCTCACCGCCGCCCAGCCATCCAGGTTGAACTTGCTCGCGCGGCCAAAGACAGCCGCTCGAGCATACTTGGAATGCCTTCGCCGGGTTCAAAGCTACTTTGACCTTGCTTCGCCCTGGCAAAGCTAGGTTTGAGCAGTTGTTCATGTCTCGGCTGGTTTTTCGTTGATTCATTTGGCTCGCTGCCCGCCTCAAGACAGAACCAATGACCACAATCGCGGCACAAAACTGTGCACCCAAAGTATCCTTAAAGGAGTTCTCCTCAAATCTCAAATCACCTCTCCATGTCCCTGGACGTTTTTGTTTCTTCGGCAGCCTATCGATTGATCGATTGCGATGGCGAACGTAAGCCCAGCGCAAATCAAGACCAAGCTGTGCAAGATCGAGGTTCCACAGGTTGTCCTTGACAAGGATGACTGTGATCCATCTATGGTGGTGCCAAGCCCAGGCACATGGGAAGAGTGCACCACTCTTCCACAACCAACGCGGCGCTTGACTTTTCCAGTACCTACCGGAAGCGAAGAGGGCTGCATTCTCAACATCCCTTTGCAGGACGGCACCAAACTTGCCAAGGAGCTTCCGCATGGCTTAAACTCCGGTGAGATGGTTTTGGCTTTCCAACGGCCAGATGGCGATTGGCGCATGATGAAGAAACCTGCAGAGTTTGCTTTTGTGGTGCCTCCTGATGCGACACCAGGAGCAGCTCTAAAGCCACAACTGCCAGACGGCACATATCTTCACTTTGAGGTTCCTGAAAGCGTTGGACCTGGGAACTTGATCGAATTGCAACATCAAGGCTCTTGGCAACTGAAGAGAGTTGTGGAACTCACGGAGGTGCAACAAGTGCCAGCCCAATCCAACACAATTCGAGGGCCCTTTCTGGCAGCATTGGACACCTTGCGTCAGTCAGTGTCCTTGAAGCAGTTGGTACCAGATGCTTCGGGCATCTTGGGCGTGAATGTCCCGTTCTGCGGGCGGTTCCAGGAGTATGCCATGTTGGGGAACTTCCTGGCTGAGCATTGCCTTACTTTGCCAGGCATCAAGGGGGCCAGGATCTTTGGTTGTGACATGTCAGATCGTTACTACTACGATTGGGCCGTGGCTCGTCGATGGTTTGCAGAGTTTCATCCAATGATCGAAGTGCATTTGCAGGTGCGAGACTTGCACCTTGATCCTTTGCCAAAAGCTGGGCTGACCATCGCCTTACACCCTGAAGTCACCAAAGGAGGCTCTTGGTTTCCAATCATGGGCTCTGTGATCAAAGCTTCGCAGAATGGCATTTGCTTGATCGCTTCCTTCTTCCAGGATGAGGCCAAGACCCTAATGAACATGGTGGATATGTATGACGAAGGTCGAGCCAAGCTACTCGTCGAGAATACCTACTGGAAAGAGAGTGCAGAGAGCAATGTGGCCGAGTCAGTGCCTTCAAAAAAGGATGAACTTCCTCCTTCTTCTTCCACCTTCTTCACAAACCAAGAGCATGAACACTTCGTATTTCCAGTGGTTCGGACGCCTCGTGAGCGCAATTTGCGGTCGCAAATGAGAGAAGCACAAGCTTCAGTGCAGCAAGTGTTTTCCTCGCAGCACTTTGTGTGCTGAATGCTCCTTTGCTTCAAACATACTTTCACATCGCTATGCCAAAATAAGTGCTCTTGTGGTCTATTGTGTGTGTGGATGTTTTTATATGTTTTCTGGACTCTTAGTTGCCGGATGTTCATTTCAAACGGTTTCGTGTGATGTTTGTTGAAGCCGGGCCTCCAAGTTCAAACCTCAGCAGAGGTTTGGATCCCAACTCGGCAGCAGCGCACCAAAATGTGGCTCAGGCCGTGCACGTGATTTGCGTGTCCTTTTGCTGAACTTTCTCAGACCATGGGCCATGTATGCTGATACGCATGAGGTCTGATCATTTTTGGTTCCTCAGGTTTTCGATGACTTGGGGAACCGAACAGCAGTGCTCCAGCCAAGCTTTTGCAGCCATGAGACTTTCAAGACGTTTCAGCACTGCTAGCTGCTAGCAGCCAGCCATCCTCTCTTAGGCTCATGCCCACTACAAGCACTGGGTGAACCTAGAGCCAAGGCATCGAGCCACGTTGTCACCTTTCGCCCGTCGAAAGAGGGGGGTGGGCTTCAAAGCGAGGTCGGCCAAAGCGAAGAAAAGCTTGGCATTGTCCTACTTATGGGTCTCCAAGCTTAGTCATAAGACATGAGAAGTCATCAGATGTAATGACATGTCATTATTTCATTTAACACCTGCCTTGGACTTTGCGTGGCGCCAAGGCTCATGCTGACCATTTGCAAGAGGGAAGTGAGCTTTGTGACGAGGAACCTCTTGATGTCAAGCTACATTCGACTCTGGGCTTTGCCAACCATCTCTAAGAACAAGAAGCAACGCTTGATCACAACTGCTTGGAATTTGAGTTTGGAGGCTTCAGAGCTTGATCCACTCGATCCATCCATACCTTTCGACTGTGTTCCCTCCTCAGCTTGCTGAGCTTGGTCAGTCAAGGCTGGAGGGTCAGTCAGAGAGAGAGAGAGAGGTTGGTCGAATTTGTGTCAAATCTTCAATGTGCTTTCGGAAGAAAGCCGTGGCATGGAAGTTTTTGAGGCGCAATTGCTGGTACTGCTGCTTCCTCCAAATCCAGAGGCATTTTCAACGAAACCATGAACCGAGTTGCATGTCATCACCGATGCCAGAGGCACAATCCCAAGACTTTTGCGGTGAAGGCCATAGTGCTTCGGACTTGAAGACACTGTTCAGATCTGTTCAGTGCCATTTGAAGTGACATGCCTTCGTTTCACTGCTTTGCTCAGGGTTTCAGGACTGTGGAGATCCCAGCAGTTCTCACTGGCCACGGGCTTTGGCGGAATCTGGAGGACTTGAAGACCTTGTGTGAGGAGGATGTTCTCGTCTTCAACTAAGGATGGTTCACATCGAGCCCAAGTTTCGCCGGGCCCAGGAGAGGCGTGTTTGTTTGATCATCACCATGTCGAAGCTCACCAGATGCACCAGCTTGGAGGAAGCTGCATTCAGCAGATGGCAGTACACCTATCTTGGGCAGAGCAAAGCATTCTGGGCAGTGCTTTAAGCCAACCCGACCACGACCTCTACTGTTGAGTCAGGAGAGGTGGGCCGAGACCACTGCCCTTCAGCGGGCAGGACCTGAAGATGGCTTCAGTCTCGCACAGCAATGCCAAAGCGAGCGCCCGATGCTGCCACAGGATCTCGTTCAGTGGGACTCGGCCCTGAGCTGCCCCAGAGGTTTGGCTTCATCCTCAGGAATCCTCAGGAAGACCAGTGGAGAGATTGGGATCTCGAAAACTGCTTATTGAGGCAGTTCGAGATCCACTGCTGATGGATGCTGCCGACGTCCCAGCAGGATTTTTTCTGTCAGGCTCCGGCGTTCCGAGCATTAGTAGTTGGACGAGTTGACACAGCAGGAAGCTACTGTCCTAGAGCTTTCCACCGGCCTGATCCTAAGTTCAGAGCATGCCTCAATGAGCAAGTAACCAAACTAAAGATGTGAAAGACGTCATTGAATTGAAGGCTACCCATTTCATAGACAATACACGCATAAACATTCGTGAGAATTCTTGAGGTGGTGCGGTGTATGGCCAACGCGTGCCAGTGACCTTTGGTGGGCCCTTCACGTGGGCTGGCCAGCGCTACTTCGAACGGAGCGTCCGTAGGAGTCTCATTTTGGACAGCACCAGGCATGCCCAGACCATGTGAAGTCGCGACTCCCCAAACTCTGCACAAGATTGGAGACCCAGGTTTGACAAGGTTGAAAGACGTCATGATCAGTGGCAATGAAGGTGCACCAGCCTTAGAGCAAGCTGCAACTGTTGCCTCGAATGCCTCCTCTTGCTTCAGACAGGATAGTATGACATTTTGTGTGGTTTTTCCTGTGTGTGTGTGTGTAACCCTTGGAATCATAGGGATCCTTTTGGATTGTTTTGGACTTGATTTTAATTTGCAGGGGGACAACCCCATGGATGCAGTTGGTTGTCCAACGAAGAGGGCTGCATTCCATGGCTGATATGATCCTGGGACGCTGGGATATGCTGGGATCACGTACCTGCTTGATTGTGGTGTTCACAAGCTGCTACTCTCCTTTTCCACAAAGGGCTAGTACACTCTGCAGACATGCACGTTACGCCGTCATTTGTCGTTTCGATCTCGACTTGAGCTTTTGGCCTCTTCTCCTTTTGAAGACTTCCAGGCTACATAGGGCTTTCCTGAACTTTTCAGGATTTGGGAACCCAGGTTGGCGGGGGGGCAAACCGCATCCAATCAGCACGCATAATCTCAAGTGTGTCTGGCTTCATGCCAGCCCAGGGTGGGCCCGTAGAGTGCCCCACTGTGGACCCGTCGAACGGGGGTTAGTCGTTGTTCCCCAGCCCGGGAACGTAGGTGTCCGAAGCGGACAGCAGGAGGCTTATGCCAAAGTTATTTGCCAAGACTTGGCGAATTATTGAAATCCAAGCTGGCTCTATGCCGTTACGTGACCGCAGCGGTCCAAGCTGGCTGAACGCCACCACGTGGTCAGAGCGACCGTAGATCTTTAGGGTCCGTTGGGACCCGTCGCTACCTCAGGTGCACACACAGCACGTACTTTTTAACGAGGTTGGCCTAGGTGTCTCAAATGAGGTTGGGCTTCATCGTTTCTCGTCCCCTCCATTTGGCTCCCTTTTCATCCTTTTCCCCTTCACACACATCTGTCTTCCTCTTTTCCTTCATGTCCTCCTGTCTTCATATCTTGTCATCTCATCCTTTCTTTCGTTTGCGCACACATTGGTCCCAGCCTTAGCGTGTACGTGCACAACTACATTTACGTTTAACCCAGGCTTCCGGTCGCCCAGGTCTTTACAATGAGGTGGGTTTCCATTCTTGTCCCTATGCACAGTGCACTTGGTTCCCTTTCATCACAACCACATACACCTCTATCCCGTCCCGCCCTCTTGTCGCGTCTTCATTCTCTTGTCTTTGCTGCGCGCACGCATGCACATCCGTCCTGGCCTTAGCATTTTTCGCTTCCTATCGGGGAGGCGTGTGCGCGTAACCCTTGGAATCATAGGGATCCTTTTGGGTTGTTTTGGGTTTGATTTTAATTTGCAGGGGGGCAACCCCATGGATGCAGTTGGTTGTCCTTTCGGTCTTGACTTGAGTTTTTGGCCTCTTCTCCCTTTGAAGACCTCCAGGCTACACAGGGTTTTCCTGAATTTTTCAGGATTTGGGAACCCAGGTTGGCGGGGGGCAAACCGCATCCAATCAGCACGCATAATCTCAAGTGTGTGAGTGCGCTTGCTCTTTGTCATGCTTGCTTACATTGCGCCTCCCTTTCAAGCTCGTGAAAGTTGATACATTGAGTGTCAACCATGTTTTCGTCACCTTTGTCCTAGTAAAGTTTCGAGGGTAGGAACATTCCTTTTCGAAGCCATGGCTCGCCAACGAGTTGGTCAATCACGTTGCTTCAAACTGTTATTTGCTATTGCGGTTGTCGCGCTGTGCTTCTTGCACCTGCCCATCAACGGCCCGCAAACTCTAGCAGCACCAGGTGGCAGAGAAGCTACTAGAGCAAGCCTTAAAAAGTTGATGGTGCCAGAACTGAAAGCAAAGCTGCGTGAGAAGGGCTTGCACGTGTCAGGGCCAAAAGCAGACCTTGTGGAGCGATTGGTGGAAGCGCTGTCGAAAATGTGCAAAATTCCAAAAGCAGAGGAACCCGCACACTTTGACAAGAATGTGTTCATCCCTTTGGACGAAACGATTCGCTTTGTTGTAAGAGGAGAGGGTTGTTTTTCTACGTGCTGGTGTGGCTAGCGGCAAGTCTACGTTAGCGCAATATCTTTGCCAGCAGCAGCCGTCCAAGTACTTGCAAGTTGATCATCCTGCTTTTGATAGTTTGACCTTTCAGCACTAGCAGATAAAGTTCAAGGCAGCTTTGGAGAAGGAGCCTTCCGCTCCTGATGTAGCGAAACGAAGCATCGAAGATGCAGTCAAATATGTACATGACAATGATCAGGCGCTGGTCTTTGATGAGTGCCACTTGCTCTTTGCTTGCCCTGCGTTCTACCAGCAGTTCCTGAAGACGCCGCCATAGCTGGAACGGCGTCCAATGGTTCTGCTGTTATCTGCAGCATCTGAAATGCAAAGTGTGCAAGGACAGGCCTTTACAACGCCAACCGAAATTACTGCAAAGTACATGTGGACGCCCCCAGTGCCAGATGCCAAAGTGCTTGTTGATCAACTTGCTGATGCCGCTGCCTATTCGTCTGAGGATGCAGTCCACTTTTTCCTTGACAGAGAAAGGCGCCGGTAAAGAGTGGACTGTCGCACAAGCGATATAGTTAGTAGTGATGATTTTTGAGAAATGAATGAGGGTGTAGTGAATTGACTGTTATGATTTTAATGAAATGGATGAGGTAATTATGCTTTTGGCTGCTACGATATTGAAAAATGGATGAGGTATGATGCAAAAAATGAATGAGGTAATTGTGTTTTGGCTGCGATGATTTTGGAAAACTGAATGAGCTAATTATGTTTTGATACTGCTGAGACAAATACAGCCATCAACCATATAGAATTTACTTGTTAGACTGCTATGTTTTTGGGTGAATAAATTTTGAATTATTACACTGCTATGATATAAGTTTAGAAAGTTTCTGTCAATCAATCCTTTTGACATGTTTTAGGTTGTGACCAAAGGCTGTCACATCCTGGTCCCATACTACGACAAGCAAGTTCCTTGGCATGAGCAACCGCCTCAGGAAGACCGCAAAAGCTTCCAACCTTCCATACTTGGCATAGACTGAAGGAATCTTCCACGTCCTGCTCTTCCAACTGGAAATGTCAAATGGCTGCCAGTTGCGCAGGGTGCTGAGTCACGCGTGGGCACGATCACCATGGTGGTGGCTGCTTTTTTGGGGGGCGGTGGGTTTAGCTCAGGTTGTGGCTTTTGGTGATGTTTCCTGCCAATTTCTTCAGCTTCCTGGTGGACGAATTGGCACGATTGGCAGTATGGTTAACTGCGCAGGCCTGAGCAGAAGCCACCCTAAACCTAGGTAAGTGTGCAGACGGGTGGCACAATCCACCGAGGTCAGCAAGCAACGCATTCCCTTGCTGGCCTGCAGCTTGGAGAAGAGATGACGTGGTCAGTTTCCATGCTCAGTGGCTGGAGCGCAGCTTAGGTTCCAGCAGATCGGGGAAGCCTGAAATCATTTATGTATGATTGGTTTGCACTTTTTGGAGGTGCAAATGGTATTTCCAGTGGCCCTGATGCCATTTGATGCCTAGTTTTTCGCGCATGCAGGTTTTGAAGTTATTCCATACGACGTCCACTGCTGAGCCTGCCTGGCATAGAGGTAGCATGAAGAATCTGAAGCATCAACCGCTTTTGCACAAGTACAAGTATCACTACTTGCCGCACTTGCCTTCCGAACCTCCACCAATCCACCTTTCTGACCACTGTTGATCCCGAATCAGGTGCGTCCCCACTTTATGGGTCCGGAACAGGTCGCGGAGCCGCGCTTTTTGGTGCGGGAGCTGGGACCTTTGTATGCGACTCGTGAGTCACAATGAGTCGATGAGCATGGATAAATTGGTGTCGCTGGCATCTTGCGGATGCAAGGCTTCATATGGTGGACTGGATGGCCCGAATCCCAGGGGCCTTTGATGGCCTATCGCTTCTCAGGCGTGAAAACGAACACATCCTGCGGATCCTCCGCCGCTTTCTTTTGTTTTTGAGGACCCTCCGGGCTTTGCTAAAAGGGAGGACGTGTTCTTGTTGCCGCCGCGCTGGGCGCTGCAAACATTGTGTGAGACTTGGTGACGAAAGACCTGGTGACTCGCTATATAGCGCCCTGACTGGATCAAGGCGCGCCCTTGCGGTCGCTCAGGGGGTCATGCAAGAAGAGGTGACCGGAGGCATCAAGAAGAAGGGTTGCCGATGGCATCAGCTTTTCTATTGTTTATACAGTTGATAATAGTTGCGTTTGAGCTGTGAACTTTGCTTGCTGGTTTTGATTCCACTTCTTGGGTTACTAAACAGTTGAACTGTGTGAACCTCACACCAAAGCGTGACTCCTGTTTGTGAATGGCCAGAGGCAAGACGTTGCTGTGGATTCAGAGGGCTACAGCCACAAGCTCAGGAACAGATTTGGGGGACTAACTAGAGTCATGCAACTTGTGAGGCAACGACGCGAAGAGTTACAAACGAAGAGCCTTTGCTGAAAGCCGTGATGGAGGAGTTGGGGCCAGGCAGCTGGATTTGCACAGGGTCGACAGTTTTGCGAACAGTTTTGCCAGATTGGACTCTGCAGATCTTTTCAGACATTCCACCAGCGCATGAACCTTGGAACGGCCCACACGGAGGTCAACTGTAAATTTTAAGCATAGCCGAGCTATTCACCTTGCCGTTGCTGTTGTTCGTTTCGTGTTTTTCCAAGGCCCAGTGCTGGTGAAGCATTTCGTCTCTTCCGGTCAGCGGACATTGTGCTGGGAGTGCAGCATGGCAAGACTGGTATTGGGAGTCCTCATATAATTTGGCTACCGTCCATTGAGCTCCTGTGACAAACATCATTTCAAAAAGAATACACACATGTTACATGATTGTAGTGTTTAGAGTTTAGGGGCACCTGTGCTGCTGTGTTTTTTGAATGCGGGAGCGTACATTTTCTGACATGCCTGAGACTCAGACTTTCAGGCATGGATCGGGACAGGCAAATGTTGTGACCTCCTCTCAGGATTTCAGTCAAATGAGACATTACATCACAGTCAGATCCAGCCGATGTCGCTGTCCCACGCCGACAAGCTGTTCCACGATCCGCGCTCGAATGAGGTTTTGTCGACCAAACACTGGCATCATCGACATCAACTTGCACTGACCTTGACTGTATATGCCTGGCTGGTGCCCTGTTCAGTCCATAGAAGCTGAGCAGATGCCTTTGCAACATGCTTTTCCAGTTGCTCAGTAGCTTTGTGTTGTACTTCCAGGGGGGGTTGCAGCGTTTGGCTTCCTCTTGTGGCATGCTTCCTGTTTGAAGTGAGCCATGGGCCAGTGCTGTGGCAGCTCTCGCAAGCCTTTCTCGGTTTTCTCGCACCAAAACACCGCAACTGAACAGAGTGATCAGCTTCCAGTCTTTGTGGTTTCAAGGCTTGGTTGCACTTGGTTGCACATCGCATGAACAAAGGCAAGCATTTTCGCAGAGTTCGATACCAATGGCAATGGGCAGCTAGAGACAACAGAGCTACTCGGTCGGTATTCCTGCGTGATTTGTTCACTTCACCTCACCGAGCTGAAGTTCTGAGGTTGAAGTCTTTCCTCAAAGAAGCATTCCCAGGTCGGGTACGTCCTGGCTTTGGCACAGCTTTTTCATGTATTTGATCCTGTGACCCTGTCAGGGGTCGAACTCACGGACCAGGAGCTGGATGAATTGGTGACAGAGATTGACACAGACAAAAGTGGAACCATTGGCCTGAATGAGCTTCATGCCTTCCTTCGATGCTACGATCCATCATCGAAGACGGTCAAAAGAAAGACTGTACTTTGACAAAAGTGTTGCGTTTCTTGAGGTCTGTCAGAGGTCGCAGACGGAGTTATCATCCCACGTTGTTGATGTTGTGACAAAAACGAACAAGCCAATAGCCGCTGGGTGCGAAGGTGATGGGTCGCACAGTGTGAACACTTCAGCTTGTGTTCACAGCGTCGTGTCGGAGGAGTCGTTTGTACAAGTGGTCTTTGGAGTTGCGTGCATTTGAGTTTAGCTGTGTAAGCTTAGTAAGTACCAGCATGCCGATTACACCAAATCCTCCAATATGCAGTCCAGCGCTCAACCAAACCCATCAAAAGAAGATGTTTCAAGCTCTATATATATATATATATGCAACAGGATTGGCCTGAATCTAAGCAAAACCCATATGAGCCGCTGCTTGGTGTTGAAATGCCATGGCTTTGGGCCCCAAACGGTGCTTCGCTCATAGCATCAAAACGCGGTATGGCTTGATCGGTTGGGCAGAGTTCAAGCATGTGTGCAGTGCCACACAAAAAGTCAGAAGACTTTTTCTTTCTTGCAATCAAGATGCTGTTCAATCAGTGCGGAATTGCTAGCAAACAGATGCAAACAGAACCAATGCCACCAGACCCTGTGCTTGCCAAGTGGGAACACAAGTAAGCACCCAACGCAAACCTTTTCACGAGCAAGCTGGCTGTTTGCAAGGCACTTGTTGTCATCGATGTGCAGAATGATTTCATATCGGGTTCGTTGGCGGTCGAGACATCTGACAGCATCGTGACTGTGATCAACCAAATCCGAGATGAGTTTGACCATGCCACCTGTCTTCAGAGGATTGTGTGAATCACAGACCAAACAATGCATAACAATGCTGCTTTCATCCTCCACCTGTTGGCGCATTGTTTAGCCTTGAGAGGTTGTAATTTCTTATGACTGGCATCCACATGACCATTGCTCCTTCGTGGAAAGTGCCAATGATGGCAAGGTAAAGATCAAAGAAACGGAGATGCTTGATTGATGTTGAGGTGCATAAGTTGATTGAATCATATTGAATCACTCTGAATGTCCATGAACATAAGATTGGTGATGAAGAGAGCTGTCAAATTAAACAAAAACGCCAGCGGCGCAGTTCAGGAACATCGGCACGCTTGCTGCCTTCTCTCAGGCACATTATGCTTCCAACAAGATCGAGTGCGTGATGAATAACTAGTAACAAGAAGCTACTAGGTGGAGGCCGTCGCTATTGGGTTGGAGGCCATCGCTACTAGTAAGAAGAAGCTACTACTGTTGATTGTCAGCGTAACAGGTGACTCTTCTCGAGGATGATGATCGCGGTGAGCATATGCAGATGCTTTATCCACGGCATGCTGTCCAGAACCTGAGCACCAGAGTCTCCCAAGCTTGTGAGCTTGAAATCACAACCTGCAGATTGAATATTTTTAAAACACTGAATGGAACGCGCATACTCGTTGTGATCTCTTTGGCATCCTTTGCAAGGAAAACATGGGGCGGCGAGTGCCACAAAGACTTAATCGTGAAACCCGAGGACATGTCAGCCTTCCGGCAGCAAAACACAATAGATTCAGAAACTGTTCATGAAGAAGTGGTGCAAAGATGTGCCAAGATTCCAATGGAAAGTCACTCGAAATTGATGCGGTCTGTTCATTAATTCGCTTTGGAGTTGATTCTCAGGTGTACAAAGGACAGAAACACAACATCGACTCGTACTCGGCTTTCTTCGACAACTGCAAGGCAAATGACACTGGCCTTACAAAGCAACTGGAGGATGCTGGAGTCACAGATGTTTATTGCTCCTTGGCAATTGTGCGCCTCACACCCAAATGGCAGTTGGGACAGCTGCTGTTTTCGACCCAGTTGGCTTTGTAGGACAACCAGTTGCACCAGCCAGGCTGTGGCTTAGTCTTCGACATTTGCGTCAAATCCAGTGCTTTACATGGAGCAGAAATGGGATTTCGCGTTTCAGTTTCTGAGCCGCGCTTTGGATATTGACAAGTACTCAGCTATATTGGTGGTTCGGATATGCGCTTCACGAAGGTCATCGAAGATGCCTGCAAGCCACTGAATGAAAAGGATGTAGAGCCGACAAAGAGCGTTTTACACGAGGCGGGAAGGGATGCTTTGGGCCTGGGGTACGTGTGTACCATGACAGTCGACAAAACACCGTTGCATCTCCACCTGGAGCCGTGAGAGTCTTGTGTTTTTCAAGGCCGGCGTGAGAGTCTTGTCCGCTAGAGCAGCGGCAGAGGAGGTGAAGCAAATAAAGGGAGCAGGAAATTTGGAGTCTCAGCATGATAAGTTCTGATAGATTCTGGATGCCATTGCATGTTGAAGTTAATGAAGTTGTTTGACTTTGAGATGCTTTAGCCTGAGTTTCATTGCCATGCCAACCGAGGCTGTGAGGGACTACATTCAGTCAGTGAAGCCTCACAAACGCGCATCGGTTCTTCACAAGGCTGAGAGGATTTCTTCGCATTCCCGTTTAGAAGCGTGAGGGTTCTGCGACTCAATTGGTTGCAATTGGATGACGGGAAAAGAAGCTCCTGCTCGCAAACAAACAGCTTTTTGCTTCTATTTCTTTTGGTGTTTGATTCTTTTCCTGGTGGTCCACTTGAGCGGTGCCGAGGCCAGAGCCCCACTCACAGTACACAGCTCACAACAGTGCCAGACTTAACGGATGTGCAGTGTCATCCCAAATCAACTTTGAATCACATCTCTTGCCCAAGGCTATGCCTTAAACTTCAATTACCGATTGGCACCTTGCTTGCAGAAAACTATATCAAAATAAGATCGGTTCTTTCCTTTGAGGAAATGCTCAACGTGAGGTGATGCTTCAAGGAATCGGGTTACATCAGTCTGTGAACCTCACCGTGCCCATCCACGATGCCCTGGATGCACTCAGGAGCTGTCGCTTACGGCTGTCGCTCACTGGCTCAGCTGGTGTCTTTGTGTGCCTTTTGCGAGGAGCTTGAAGAAGTGATCCGGTCTGCCAAGCGATCCATTACTAGTAGCTTCTTGCTACTAGTAGTAATGCCAGGAGCTACTAGGGACGTCCTTCTACTAGTAGCGATGCCCTTTGTTACTAGTAGCTTCTTGTTCTACCAAGCGATCCAGTCACCAAAAAGCAGAGAGGAGAGGTTCTTTACGTTGTCTTGTCCATTTGTGAGTTCGCGCGATGGACACGTGCATAGACAGCCGCTTGCACATGGGTGATGCATAATGACCATGGTGTTGATGGATTTCGGATCAAGGAACCTCTTTTGTTAGCGTATTCTGTTTTTTGGGAGACTGGATAGCGCCTGGCAAGCGAAGCTGGATCCCAAGACCGATGCAATCCATTGTGCCGCAAGCTGTGCCCACAAACCAATGCATCATCATGCTGCAAAATCTGAGGTTTTGCCAAGCTAAGTGCCTTGATGATGTTGCAAAAAATATCGCAAGTTTTGTGCAGTCCTCAAGCACTTCTGCCCTTCCCACTCACATTCTCAGAAAAGACCAAAAGACTTAGAACATGTGAGGTGCAGCTGCTGGTTTTTGTGCTTGGCCGAAGATATTTTCAACGCTGATGAAGCCTGCCAATCAGGACAGGTTTTTGGAGCTTGTTTGGGTGCTTTTTTCTTCCCCTTCCCTGTAACCTCAGGCTTGGATGAATGCTCCCTCTCTTTGCGCCAGTTGCGGGGTGAACGGAGCGAGGCAGAAGTTCGGCATCATCTTCAAGGTCTCTCGTATCAAGAGATCTGTACAGATGAACACTGTATTGTGAAGGGAGGGGGAGAGGGATAAGGAGCAAAGCCGGGACACAGAAAGACTCAGACGAAAGAAGCAGCTGCTTGCTTCACAGCCATTGCGACCCACTAAGGCCAAACCAAGGAGCAGGACAGGGACTACCCTTTGGCAAAGGACGACGATACTGCACAAACTTGGCCCATGACAGCAACAGCTAGCGGGTTCTGTGCATACCCAAGCGAGCGAGAAGATCCCAGGCTTGGAAAAGGCTTGGGTGCAATGCCTCCAACTGGGCCAATTGATGTTTCCAAAGTTTGTGCCATGGCTTTGAAGTACGAAGGTCACATGGCTGAACTTGGAACACAATGCGCCAATGAAGACACCTGCGCAAAATGCAACGGAGTCTGGTGCAACGGCACCATCACAGCCCTACTGCAAAAGGCAGAAGGTGAACCTGAATTTCCTCTTGAACATGAGAATGAGAGCCTCCACACATGGCC